GGAGCTCTGCTGCTCCTGCGCTGGGCTCCGGCCGGGCAAGGTAAAAGCTCTGTATGAGGTTGTTTCTACCTGCTTCGGTCCCTCTGCCTTTGGGAGAAAAAGCAGTATTGGCTCGTTGTAACTGGAGGTGAAAAAGGCAGGTTTCCTCTAAGACCAAGTCAATCATAGTGATCTATCAGAAGAACTTGCAGCAGCCTTCACGGCGTTCGCACCGGGTTAGCCAGATCAGAAGTGATATCCTTTGCTATCTTCCCAGCGTGAGATTCCTACTTATACGTGACATTACTTGCCCTTTTTTTTTTTTAGGTCTGCTCATGCAGAAGTTGCCACTGGATCTTTACTGTAGCTGCTGTGGCTTTCTGGTTTCCGCGGCCTCCAGCAGCCTGGGTGCTAATGGGGCTTTTCTCCCCAGATCCACACGCATCTGTGGAGCCTGCAGGTGCTGTGGCTTCCTGTGTCCCACTGCCTACTACTGTCAATGTACATCCCTGCATCCAGAGTACCTGGACCAGCACCAGCTCAGACCCATGGAGGCAGGATCCCCAAACGAGATGTTGGAAACACCCGTGTCCGGGCACACAGAAACAAGCCCTGCTGGCCAGTGCTGCTTCCTAATCCCAGTGACCAAAAACCTGATCGATAAAATGGTTCGGTGATATCTATCTGGAGATCCAGCTGAAGGTTGCTGAGCAGACAACATCCAAACTGACTTTTGAGGACACAGAATAAGGTGAGGGGGTTACTGTGAAAATGCTAGAGAAAAATAGTCCTTTTAATAAGGAACCACACCCGCAAAATAAGACTTATTGGTAGTGTGTGGCCAGGACATTTCTGCATGATGACATGCTAAAAAACTCCTCTGAACAGGGACCAAAGCCTTTCTGGTGCCATGAACGAGGTTTACACTTCCCAAGAAAAATCCTGTCCCTCTCTCGCATCATACAGTCGGGGAAGGGGAGGCTTTTTCCAGACAAAGAGGTATCCAGCTGGGAAGGAAGGCAAACAGGGAATACATTCCTGACTCACTATTTAATTGGTTTAGTGCAGGTGCAAACAGCTTAATGAAAGGAGGAAAAAAAAAAA